CAGGGCCCCACACAGATTTCAGGAGTCAGGGACGGCACCAGAACCAAGCAGGGAGTCGCCCAAGAGGGGGAGGTCACCTAAGGACGAACCCGTCAACGAGGTCACAGAGATTCTGGACTCGAGATGGGGGGAAGAGGGAGTAGAATATTTTCTCGCCAGGGAGGGCGCCCCGGCCAGCGCCAACAGTTGGGGTGCCGGACTACGCTTTGGACGAACCCCTCCTCAAGGACGAGTTCCATGCCCTTTTCCCACACAGGCCCATGCCAGCACAGTTTTTCGACGATTGGCTTTTTACGCCCACACTTTCCGCCAGCACCTTCCGAGGGTTCTCCTCCGCAGAGGAGGCGACGCCAGAGTCGAGCCCTCCAAGGGGATCGTGTTCGGGGGTGGACACTGACCCTTCTTACTGGTGGGACGATCAACCAGAAGAGGACTGGCGCGCGAGGTGGAGGATGGGTCCTTGGCAAGCAGACCCCACCCAGGCAACAGGGGGAGGGGGAGGACGTGAACATGTTGGGAGAGGACAATGGGTTGGAGCACACAAACAATGAACTGGAAGCAGAGGAGATCGACGTCGACGACCTGTGTCCGGCAGCGACCTCCGCAACGACGGAGCCCCCGGAACCTGCGCCCGAGCAGCGGGAGGGGGGAAGGGGGGGCTTCGAGGGGGGGATGGATGTCAGGGGTTCAGAGACAGAGGCACAGGTGAGGGGGGAGACGGAGAGCGATGAGGAAGAATCCCAGGACAGTGAGGAAGAGGATGACAATGACTTGAGGTCTTCCATGAGTCTCTCAAGTGAATCGGAGGATTCCCAGGAGGGGGCGCCCCTAGTCAGGACAAGGGGGGTCACAGGGGGGACCTGCCAGGAGCAGGGAAGCAGCAGGGAAACCCCGAGTGGGAGTGGGAGATCGGGGCCGGCTTCCCAGCAGGAACGAAGTGAAGAGAGGGGAGTTCCCAGTGTGACACACGGAGCGGAGCAGGAAAGAGACAGGGGAAGGAGATCGGGGCAGGACGTCCTGCCGGAAGAGGCGGAGAGTAGTACAGGGAGTAGTGTAAGTGTCAAGAGGAAGGTCAGGGGTAGCGAACGCGCGCCAAGTTCAAATGTGGAGGCGCGCGGAAATGGAGGAAGCCCGGAGGAGGAGCCTAGCCCCAAAGCACGAAGGAGGGGGGAACAGGCATCTGAGGAATCCGCTTCAGGAGACAGCAGGAGGGAAGGAACCCAGGGGGGCAGGAAGACCCTGCGGAAAAGGAAAGACAGGAAGAGGTGGTCTAGCACAAGCCTCTTAAGCTGGTGTAGAGGCGGGACCGACTCAGAGGGGACTTCAAACGTCTAGGCTAAAAGACGCGGGGCTGCACGCCTCGGTTGTGGAACTAATAATGAACTGCAATAAACATCCTTGTATATAAGAAGAGCTTGGCGTTGGTCTTTTGTGAGCTGAGACCTGAGGCAGCCTCTGACAGGCGGTATATAAATACAATAAAGAAGGAAGAAAGTAGAGGGGCCATGGCGTCAGAGCTAGGGCTAATCTCCAGGGTGCCAAAAAGCCAAAATACTGCTTGTGAGTCCAGAATGGACAATGGGATGCTACAACTCAGTGGCTGCTATCTGGACAATACTCTAGTCACCCACCATTGATCTGAAAATTTATCATAATATACGCTGCGAGCAATCTGGATCACCCAGTACTTCTGTTTGTTTCCTGTGAGATACAGATCCCACTGAAGGTCTAAATATTTATCATTAACTCCAGAGAAACATTTACAAAACGTTGTACTTTGAATACTAACCCGATTTTGATGGTGTTTCTTGGGGCATTATGGACTGCACAATTACGGATTGGGCAATATGGTCCCTATATAATACTGAGCTGTGAACCAGAAGATCTCAAAGTGACTTTAAGCAAGCTAAGTCTTCCTCTCTCACACACACCCTACCTCAATGTGTAACTGACCCACTAGAACCAAGTGTGTGATATTGTGTGTGTGTGTGTGTGTGTGTGTGTGTGTGTGTGTGTGTGTGGTAGGTATTACCGTAGTATTATTACTCATTACACGATGTATGCAATACAATCACAATGTAACTGTAATGCCTCAAAATCATCGCCTGAATGAAGGGACATATTTAGATCCCTGAAAGGAGAAGATCATCACAGGTTTAACTGAAAACCAGAGCCAAGATCCAAAACTTCTAATCTAGCGCACTGTTGGTATAATACAGTATAAAGTAAAGATAAAAAGGTAAAGGACCCCCGGACGGTTAAGTCCAGTCAAAGGCGACTATGGGGTTGCGGCGCTCATTTCACTTTTCAGGCCGTGGGAGCCGGCATTTGTCCAGACAGCTTTCCGGGTCATGTGGCCAGCAGAACTAAACTGCTTCTGGTGCAACAGGACACTAACAAGTGCCAGAGGGCACGGAGCTGCTGTTTACCTTCCTGCCACAGCGGTACCTATTTAGCTACTTGCACTGACATGATTTCGAACTGCTAGGTTGGCAGGAGCTGGGACAGAGCAACGGGAGCTCCCTCTGTCATGGGGATTTGAACCGCTAACCTTCTGATCGGCAAGCCCAAGAGGCTCAGTGGTTTAGACCACAGTGCCACCAGCAGTATAAATACATACTGACTACTGTTGAGCTATTTCACCTAGAACATCAGGCATAAATCTTTCCTATGTTTAGGTGTACTCTGCAACATAATAGTGCATTAGTGGTAGATTTATACTGGACTGACCACACATCATTCTGCTTTACTAGCTGTTCTGCGAGGCTTCTCCAGCCTTATTGCATTATTGTGCTACAATGCAACAAAAGCAGGGGAACACCCTCTCCCCCACCACTGGTAGAAAAAGTTATAGGATTTCATCAGGAAGATGCAGTATATACACTAATTGGAAATGAGGCTGTACGTCCGACCCAAAGCATTTGCAGATGCAAACAGTATTAAAGCAGGATTGCGTATAACCACCCCGGTAACATCATGAGCACAAATCATTATGAACGCACAACAAGAAGGATGTCTGGAGTCACCCTTACTGTTGGAGCAGCAACAGCAGGTTCATTCCTGTTCACATAAACATCACTGTAGTATTGTGGGCACCCTTCCTTGTTTGGCCCCTGAGAAGGTGATATTCCATCAGGACAGCACCCATACCTATACCAGGGGAAAAGAATGGAAACCAATATTGGTGTAATCTGTTCAAACAGATTTGCTGTCTTTGCTGGCAGATTAAATGGATTTAACCAGCTTGTCTTACCTGCTCTGATGGCAAGTGTCAAATGGGCAGCCTTGCCCAAAAGGACCAGCGGCCACAGTCTGGCCATCTGAACAGCAACCATGAAGGCTCTGGTTGCAGTCTTGAACTTCAGTTGTTGAGGCAACATTTTGATGGGAACTGAAGTGGCGGGACGCTGAGGATCCTAAGTAAGACTCCCATTGAAGGGGCAAGAAATTGGAGTCATGATCTCCATTAGGCTGGACTTGGTGATGAGTAGTAGAACCAGCTTGGGTTATTCTTTCATTTGCAGAAGCTGAAAAACATAGTATCTTATGGCATGTACCCACAGTTACAGGATCACGTCTAGAGTTAAGCCCAGATCTATGGTTATATGTCAGGGCCTCTCGTTCTGTCCTAGCAGGACAGGCACTTTAAGTTGCATTCAACTCATAGTTGACCTACTGAAATTAACCACCACAGCTAACTTAGGTCCTTTTATTTCAATAGGTCTACTCAGAGTGAAAAAAAGTTGAGAGTGACCCTTTCATGGAAATTCTTCACAACTGCTTTTTGTTCCTGCATTATGTTAGGGTGTACTGGGTGATCTTCCATCGCCCCTGTACAGATGTGCTTGTGTGTCAAGTGTGTGTCTCGGTCAAGTGTCTATGATTTTCTACATGCTAAGGGTATGTGACTACTGTCTGGCCCTGTCCATTTTGGGGAGAAGCCCTACACATATTTGAAACTGGCCTCAAAAACTATCAGTATGCAGGATCAGGCAGCATCCCACCAGGATAATGAACCCCAAAAAGCTTTCCTAACCCAGGGGCCCTCTCAGAATCTGCCCTAGAAATAACACTGAATAAAGCAGAATTCATAAAGCAGTTTCACATTCCTTAAGGAGGGAGGGGTGTGAGGCAAAATTTCAGCTGGACCCACTGCCAGGCATTGGAGATTAGCAAGATGTGTGGTGGTAGAGGAGTGGTTCTGGGCTCCTGGGTTAGGAAAGCTTTTTTGGGGTTTGACTCCCTACCTCCATGTTTACTACTGCTTTCTTTTCTAAGAGGCATACCATCATTTCAGAGTCAGGAAAATGAAAGACAGACACTGGCTTGGTCCAGGGCCCATCTCATTTCCCATCTTTCCCTCAGAGAGCTGCACTCTACATACATATGGGCCACAAAGACTCTTAACTTTTTGTAAAGCTATTCTAAAGGAAGGTACAAAAACTAAAACATAAACATTTGAGAAAGAAAGCAAAGTTCAGGTAGTTTCAAACCTATGGTGCCGAGGTCAGGATTGTATCGGGTCAGTGAGGTCTGGCGGTTGACATCATAGCCTGCAGAGTCTTGCATACTGGGAACCTCTGCAATGAGATTAGTATCCGTAGGTTAGAAAAATTGAACTAAGATCAACATCAACAACTGGGAATACCTAAAATCATCTGTGTCTTCAGCAACTAGGTGAGCAGAGCAGAGAGAATTGTTCTAAATTATCCTCTAACCCAAAGAAATCCTGCTCTCATGGAAATCAGTGAAAGGAAGCTTCAATTATATGTTTTTTAATGTTGTGGTGGGGTGGGGGGAATGGAACTTCAAAACATGTGAAAATGAAGCTGCAAAAAATCACCTCTGCAGGCTTTCACACCCAGGGTTTGAGATGTGAGATGTTGTTATTATGAGGCAAAAATGCACCAACACAGAAACAGAAAAGTAAGGGGAAAGGACTTACTTTTATTACACTTTTGAAGCAGAGAAGCACCAATTACTGAGTCTTTATGACTTGACATTGGGGCAGATTTTAGGGCAGTCTCAATTGAACCAATCAGATGCTGTTCTGTACTGCTTTATGTGGTACCATAATATTAATTGATTTCAATAAGAAGCAGACTAATGTTGAGCTTTTTTGGGGGGGGCACACAAAGTTATTGACGTTTTTGAGCTATTTTTAAGGAGGATTGGCAAAAACGACACTGCCGACATGGGTTGCCATACGTCCGGATTTCCCCCGAAAATTTTGCCGGGAGATTACGAACGTATGGCAACCCTAATAGATACCCTAGCATATCCAGACAATAAACCTCTTGCTTTTCTCATCATTGTTCTGACAGCTTCCAAAGTTTGATTAGGTATATGTAATATGTAACCAAAAGAGCAGAGATGGTTCACATGCATTGAAGGAAGAAGTTCCCAGGTTCAATCTATGGTATCTCCTTTTTTCTTTTTCTTTTTAAAGAGCAGTTAGCAAAGAAACGCAAAGGCCCGTCTCTTCATCAATAGGTATGAAAAGGCCCAAGAAACCTCTAGACCAGTGGTTTTCAACCTGTGGGCCCCCAGATGTTGTTGGACTACAACTCCCATCACACCTGAGCTCTGGCCTTGCTAGCTAGGGGTGATGGGAGTTGTAGTTCAACAACATCTGTGGATGTTGAGAAAGGCTGCTCTAGACCTTGTTGCTATCCTGATGACATCTCAGTAATTCCAACATTGAGCAGGGAAGACCCAGTCTGCTGCGGCCAGCTTGGAGGCTTCTAGACCCTCTTGCGTCCCTGATGACATAATTTAATCCACAGTATAGATCTCTGGAGGGGCCCTTACACAGTTTATTACTGGGTCCTCCCACCATTGGCTGCAGCTTTGACCACCTTTGGCTCAGGCCCCCAACTGATTTCTCCCATGGGTCAACGGGCCTTTATTTAACAAAGAGAAGACGTTGTCCACCCATGGTTTAGGAGCAGCAAAAGAAAACAACACCCAGTGCTGAATCTGTTACGTAAAGGTGGTGGTACTATGCATTCTAACAGCCCAGGTGTCCGAAAATGGATACTGGGTGGGAATAGCACCTTAAAAGGAGGAAAAGAACCAAGGGGCGTTGTGGACAGCTAATAGCTTTCACTTACGCTGTGGCAGATGACAAGGCTGGGTGTTGCATGTTCCAAGCATGGCTGGTATCTGCGGCTGAATGGCCCGGCACATCTCGTGGTTGTAGAACTTGGAATCCCCGTCTGCACACATGACCTGGCGCGTTCGGATGCCTGAGTCACAGCTCTTTGAGCACTAGATCACAAAGCGCAAGCCAAGTTATTAGGGGACTGTAACCCGAGGGAGTAACGTTACAAGAGTAGCACTATCCTGAGAGAGTAGCCCTTTGAGTTTCTGGTAGCAGGTGTTAATACATGAATTTTCAGGTAGTGAGCAGGTAACTGCTAGTAGGTTGTAGGCCTTGGTGGGAGAATAAAATGATAAATGGAATATTTTTTTTCCAGGTCATTGGATAAGTTAGTCCCAGACAAACTGACAAATTATGTTGGCTCCAGTTGTATCTTCTCTATACTTTACAGTCAAGTGGTATGTAAATTTTATGAAATAAGCAAATTTCCAGAGAAAGTGATAATGTGAGCATGATTCATTCACCTGCACTTTCCACAGGCATGCATGGTCGAGCTGGGCTATAAATTATAATGTCTGGGTTGTCTCTTAATACAACAACTCTACCTATTGACCATGCTTGAGGCGATCGCATTCTCACTTTAGTTTCCATTATTCCAGAAGTTCAACAAAGGCTATGTTGATGCAAACAGGTCTTATAAAGGGGTTGTCCACACTGGAATTTAATGTGTGGATTTGAAGCTGCTTATGTCTCTGTTTTTCTTTCCACTGTCCACACAACATTCTCCTCACCCAAACAAAAGCCCACACTTCCCCCCTGCTAAATTTGGATTTCCGTAATCCAGAGATAATCTGGTAATGGAAGAAAATCCAATATAAAACTCCATGTTACCCAATTGAAGCTCATTGTGCAAGCAGGTGTTCTTTTCAAAGCATGTGTGATGTCATTTCACTGTCACACCCCCTACTTCCATTTTCTTTGCACAAAGGCAAAAAAAACAGCCCGCCTTTTTCCACTGGTTGTTTCTGAAGGCAGCTAAGTGATATTTTTATTTTTAAAGGGGTTCATGTTGTGCAGAGCTGATCTTCTACAAAACAGCTGCATTAAAAATAAACACAAAATTTACCCTTGCAGGTACAAAAGGTAGGAAAGGAAAGGGGCAGGAAAGGAAGTTGCAGCCTTTCATGCAACCAACTCAAAATCATTGCTTGGCTTGGAGTGACATTTTTGTTTTTAAAATAATTATTTATTGTATTTTGTGCCAATCTTGTATAAAAATATAAGTAGGCAAGCACAGGTAAATAGATATCTGTGTTTATGCCCTCAGTGGACCTGTGGTAAGCGGAGAAGTACTCACTGTCGGGAGGGGATAACACACAGCATGAACATATTCCATCAAAAACCACCCACTATTGTAGAATGAAAACACTGAGACAGATTTCAAGTGCATAACATGGGAAACATTCATGTGTGAAGATGTACCTATGCATTAATGCCCTAGTGTGGAAACGGCCTGAAAGAGGCAGCAGAGAGGAGATGGGCAGCAATGGACAGATAAACTGGGGTATAGCAAAGTATAGGTACCTTTTTTACCTATAGCAAAGTAGGCAGAAATTGTTGCAATGCTTACCAGTCCCCAGTCTCCAATATGCCAGCCGATCTCTTGGATACAATTCTCACCAGTGCAGGACTGGGTGCGTGAAGGTTTTGGTTGTGTCAAGCAGGCAACTTCGAGAGTCCGAGTGCCCAGCTCCGACATGCAGTTTACAGTCCGGGTCTGAATACCTTCCCCACAACTAGCTGTGCACTGTAAAAATAAAATAAATGACAGTCACTGCAAAAAATGTGCCTCTTTATCTATTGCATGTATTTGGACCACTCACTCCACATTTTAAAAGTTTTCAGAAATCCTCTTGTCCAGAAAGAGTAATTCAGCGTGTGAGATGTTCTATGGTTAAGCTTCCTCTGGATGGGAAGAATAACTCAGAGGTGGAATTTTTGGTAATATTCATTTACATGATACCTGTCATATACATTTATGTACCATATTTGTTGTGTCTGGGGACATAAGTGTATGTATACATACATTACACATGCATAAACACATGTGAGAGTTAGCACCAATTTTTAAAAAGTCTTTCCTACTAGCCATTTTCATACCATCCAATTGTGTTACAGTGCTGTATATAATACATAAATTGAAGGTATGCCTACTGAAAGAGCTTTTAATCTATCCAAGATATAAAAGGTAGGAATAATGCAAAAATTAGGAATAGGGATTAAGGAAATTGTTGTTTGGACCACCTAATTTCCTGCTTCCAGACTAACATACTGATTGAAACATAATTATACTTTGGTTTTGACATGTCTGCAAATTTTGCAGTACATGGGCAGACCTCCTCCCCAATAATCACTACGTTCAGTGAAAGGTCAGAATTTGAGTAAAAACATAAATTCATGAATTTAGCAATGGCTGGAAATAATAACTACTAGCTTCCTCATGAGGCCAGCCTGGTGATGGCTCATGGGGATGTTTCATGGAAATCAATTCATAAAATACACACTTCAATAAATGACAACCGATTATCAGAGATGGCGAAACAAGGATGACTAAAATAAGGCTTTGCCAAAGAAATACATTTTGGGAAGGAATTCAAAGAATTAAGTATTTATATTGGTTTTATACCAATTTAACTGTCATGGTTCGCTCCCCAAATCATGATGAACATCCTCATAATTATGTTACACAGCTCTAGCTTCTTTCACAAAATTACTATTCCCATGTTCTTTGGTGAGAGGGAAGGACTATTCAATCTGTGTAAGCGTGAATTGTTGATTTCTCTCAAGGCAGAGAGAGGGGGGGAATCCACCTCATGAACAAAGATGCACAGGCAAAGCGATGATACACGAGGGGAGACTCACGTGTGCAAAATGGGAGGAGTAGGTGAGCTTGTGTTTTCTTTTCCTCCTCAAGCCACCGAGGTAACTGGGCTATACTGTCTATATATGTTCACTGAACCTGTAGGACAAACTCACCTCAGACCAAGGCCCTGTGGTCCATGCTGCACACTGACGCATGTTGCAAGGCTGTGTGCTACGCGGCCTCTCTGTCAAGGATGCGCACTCGGCATCATCCACAGCATTTTGAGAACCAGGTCCGTGGTGGGAGACGCAATAAACGGAACGAGTCTGGGTGCCTCCTCCACAGGTGGCAGAACAAGCTCCCCATTCCCCAATCTTCCATCTGTAAATACAGAAGCAGCATCTCTCAAGGAACCAAGAAGCCAACACTGGCAGCAAGAAAACCCACGGGACTAAAGGGAGGCTTACCACTTTCAAGTAATTGAATTCAAAAAACAATAACTTGGGTGACAGCGAAAAGTATCTAAAAGCATTTAAAATGGTGTGACTGCAGATTAAAAGATTGTGGTACTAGGAGGAATGGAATGGATTAAGAGGATAGTTTCAGACTGTATGGCTAGAGGGTGCCTCAGCGGTGGAAGCTGTTAGGTACCGTGGAAGTCTCTCTCACAGAAAGAAACTGAACTGGCTTCAATAAAGCAAAGGTGCACTTACTGTTGAGAAAAAGCAAAAAGTCATATATACTCCAACAAAGGATAATCTCCAAATTCTGATAACCTTTCTTCTGTGACCTATCTTTATTTTTTGTTATTAGAGAAATGGTCCGGGGGGAAAGTGTTAAGCATTCTACTGATTCTTTGATCTGATTTGGCATACGGCATTTTTTGTGTGAGGGGAACCCTCTGGAGACTGCTTACATATTTTCCAGTGACCTGTCTAGTTTGACACCAAGACTAACAAAGTTTCCTCTACCTACACCTGACATTCCTGAAATAAAATGCTTTTTCTATCTGCATGCTTTGACATTAAACCCTTCCAAAGAACTTCCGTCACAAAGTTGACAATAGCAAGATCTATATTCAGAAGGAAAAGATTGTACTTGCAATCAATAGCCATTTGTCTATACTGAGCAGTAATGGACAATTCAGTCCTCCAAGCTGCAGTAAAATAAACTCAACCCATCACAGCAGGGAAGGAGACCCAAAGTGATGCTATGCAAGAGTTTCCTTGAGACTGGAGGTCAGCTTCCCAAAGGAAGTCTATTGATAAAAATAAACTCAGTTGGCAGAGGATCAATCTAGTCAGCTCTGTTATCATGGCCAGACAATACAAAAAAAGACTGCAAACTAGAAACACTGTCTGAACATTTTTCTTGGTCCTAGAAGCCAGGAGGAATTTTGCCTGGTGCCACCCAGTGGCAAGTGCTTTTATGATGTAATGGCCAACGATCAGTGCAATGAAATAAAACTTCCTCCCCATCCTGTGAACAGCATAGGATAATTTTAATGCTTCTTCTTCTTCATTATATTATTATGATGATGTCACTTTACCCACAACTTACAAAAACAATATAAACACTAAAACCAATTACAACAAACACAACCAATAGACTCCTAAAAACACATCTATCGGTTCTTACAGATCCTGCCCTATCATAAGAGGCCACAAATACCTGAAACCTTTCAAATTAAGGGCCCAAAGCCCAGGTAAAAAGGCTATTTGGTGTCTACAAAATAGATAAAGACAGATCCGAAAAGCCCCCTTATTGTGTTGCCACCCTCCAGGCCTCCTGTGAAGAGGGCACATAGAGAAAGGCCTCAGATGGCGATCACAGGGTCCAGGTTAGTTCATGCCAGGAGAGGTGGTCCTCAAGGTACTGGGGTCCTGAGCCACATGAGGCATTATAGGTCTGAATTCAGCCCAGAAACCAATCAGTAGCTAGTGCAATCATGCCAGAATTGGTGTTATATGTATGGATCTTCCTGCTTCAGCCAACAATCTGGCTGCAGAATTCTGCACCAGCTGCAGTTTCTCAACCATCTTCAAAGGCAGCCTGAGTAATTACAATCTAAAGGTTATCAGTGCATAGACATGAGAAGTTAGGCTGTCCCTGTCCAGCTCCCATCAGCCCCAGCCAGCATGTCCAATGGGAAAGGATGGATGACCACAGGTCAGCCACTCCTAGGTAGGCAAAGCTCCACTTCCCCAGCATCTACCACACTCTATCATGATTTACAGAGAAAAGCCAAAGCCATAAGCAGCCACTGAGACCATCACCAAGGAGGAAAGCTCCTCTAAGCAATCTAGAACAGTGGCTTTCAAACAATATCCTTAAGAACCCTGGCATGAGCGTAGCCAGGATTTTTGTTAGGGGGGGGAGACTTTTGTTAGGGGGGCAGAACCTCAGATTTGTATTGATTTAGGAGGCAGCTGCCCCCCTGCCCCCCCTGGCTATGCCTATGAACCCTGGCACTCCTCAGAAACTTGCCCTGGGTTCTTTGGTGTATGGCTGACCTTAAAGACAGCTTGTCCATTATTAGCAAATTGGTCCTGCGATGTGCAGCCAATGGATGCAGTCTGGGGGCACGCACTCAGTTTACAGTGGGCAATGGTGAAGCTCCACAGGAATGGCCAGGATACCACATCATCCACATGAACTGAATGTGCAGCTCAGAACACAACCCAGAGTTCCTTGGCAATATGCACGAATTTGTTCTGCACAATTGAAAAAAGTTTGAAGACCACTGTTGTAGGTGGGGAAAAGGGAAAGAGGAGCTGAGCAGGGCCTCTGCAATCGCTTTCTCCTTGTTACCTCTTTGTTTGTAAGCTCCATGCTGTGTTGCGGCTCCATGCTCCCGGCAGATAGAGGTAAGATATCCTTTATATATATAGAACAAAGATTTTAAAGCCAAAAGTGAATATATAGACATCTGGGGTTGCCTGCTACAGCATGACTGCACATTGTCTTTTAGGGCCAAACTAGACAAGATGTTGAAAATTTATTCATGCAGCCCTGATGTGTGTGTTGTTGCTTTTAAACAAAAAGGCTGCTATGGAGTTGGGGTCCAATTTGGATCAAGGCCATATCGGGGAGTGGCAGCTGACCCTTTCTTCCTGTACCAGTTCCCTGAAGCATCTCCCCAAAGTATTAGCCATGGAAGGTTTTCAGGTATCTTATTGCAAGTGTCTGGGTCCCCCCCGCCCAATCTCCACAGCTAACTGAAGCTGCAAGAGTGGGAGGAAATGGAGATAACCGTGTGTGTGTGTTTGTGTGTGTGTGAAGTTAAACCCACCTGCTTCTACACTATGAACTCAAGTTGTCCCTCCTGCCCTTGCATTTAGAGACAACATGAAGAAATACATCAGTGATACATTCACACATCTCCAATGTTTGGCTGATGCACTGAACTGGGTACGCAATGATGCAGATTTGTTTGTGCCAGTCTAGTTACAAGGACCCATAAAATGGCACACTGGAAGTTGGTTTGGATCCTGAGAAGTTCTGAAAGTGGAAAAGCTCCACAGCCCATCTCTCTCTGCAAGGGAAGTATCATATGGCAATTTGAAGGGAAGCCAAATCAAGTCTCACCGTTTTGTCTGGGGACATGGCTGAAGGCCACAAGTTTGGTTATTTTCTGGCTGTGGTTTATCTCTGCACATATAATCTGGATATACTTCATTGTCAATTGTGCAAAAGACCAAGCGTGTCTGATAACCTATAAGAGAAAAACAGCAAAGGATGTTGGTTACCGCCACTCATCCACAGCAGCAGTTAAAACTACAGAGAGATTAGAAACACTATACATCTAAGAACAATATAGCATTCCATCATCTTCATCGAACCCAAGAAGCAAAATTTAAATAGAAGGCTGTGTCCACACGAGAACATTCACACATATGTGGGTTGCTGTTTTTGTGTTGTCATCTTGTGTGCCTTCATCCACACATGTGTGTCCACAGCCAGATAGCGAATGCTTTTATAATAGATCTCCTTCCCTTTTTGGATTTTCCCTGAATTGGAAAAATCTGAGTTTGCTGCAGGCTGCCAATTGGATGCTGAAAATGGCATGTGAATGACAATGAAAAATTCAAGGCACATGCAGCTTCAAATCCACATTAAACTCCGTGTGGAGTTAGCATACTATGATAGGTCCTTACCTCCACCACACTCAGCACTGCATTCGCCCCAGGAACCATAGGCCCAGCTGTAGCCCAAGCTCTGCCTTTGTGTTGGCAGGTAGTATTCATAATGTACCCCTTGGTTTGGCTCCTGGTTGATAAGCTGAAAACAGAAGAGGCAAATAAGGTGTAACACAAATAACTGCTTTCCTCACTCTTGTAGCTGTGTTGTCTGGCGTTGGCCCAGTTCACCTCAAAAAGGCAGATGAGGTGGTAAAACCATTCCTGGAACTGGGCTTGTGTTCGCTGAGAGGCATTAATCCATGTGATCACCCATCTGCTGACTGGAATGCTACAGCTGAGGAACTTTCCTCGCTTCATCTGCTCTAGGTATGAACTACACCTAACACCCAGATCCTTGCCAAAGCACACTCCTTTTCTATCCACTGCTCATGTCCAGTTTGGGACTGTCCTCCCCACCCAGGGTCTACTTTATGCCTTTCCTTTTTCACAAAGAAGAGTCTTCTTTCAATTAAAAGAAGGAACTGCTTTCTTGCTGGGGAATAGGGCGTACCCCGCACCTCTTTTCGGCAACAGGCAATAATCTAAATGGATCTTAATGCACAGTTGCGTAGGTAACATAGATACAAGTTCTCTTATCCACCCTCACTGTTGTTTTTTGGCCAAGAAATGGCTATTCTCCCTTCAATCTACATGGCATTGTATTTTTATTTAAGGTCCCGCAGTTCCCTCTGGGAATAATGCTGAGCACCCCCTCTGTGGAAGCTGGAAGAGGAGGGGAATATACAAAACAGGAAACTGGGCTTACCTCAATGACCAAGGGCTCAGTAGTTGGGCCTCTGGCGTGAAGAAGTTCGGGTGCCAGATCTCCCTCAGAACCCCTGTCATAATGCACAACTGTGCTAGCAATATGCAAGGCACGGCTGAACTCAATCGTCCAGTGGCCATTCAGATAGTAGGCCCCTTGCGCGTTCTTGATGGCTGCGGGGGAAGGAAAAAACCCCAGAGGGCACAAGGGCGGAAATGTAAAAGCTGTCTAGTTTGGAAACCAAACTAGGCTCATTTCAGGCTCATTATAGAAGACTAATACCACATCCAGAATACACCTCTGTTGTTACATGGTTGTTATTACTGCGCATCCCATAAAAAAAGGATGTAAATAGCTTCAGGGTTTATTGATATATTACAAAGTTTACTGAGAGCTGTGTGCAACATTGAACAAATGCTGTGAAATCAAATTGCCATGGGAAGCCAGTATTCTTAGACAGTTGACATCAGTTGCTCTCTTGTCCAAGTATCTTGCTTTTGTAGCAGACAGAGGCCCACTGCCAGACTTTCTCTGCAAGGTCAACCTTGTTACTTATATCCCAATCTCATCCATGAACTGAGCAATCTTCCACTTGCATTCTGAGTGGTATAGTCCCAGGACAACTGTACCATGTGAAATTTCTGAATATGCAGAATTAAGTTAATTTAATATAGAATTAAGTTAAGTGCACAATTAAGTGAATGAACTGGGAATTATGTGCTTTAAGCCCCCCCCCCCCCAGCTCTCTCTCTCTCTCTCTTTTAACACAGAGCAATAGAAAAACTGTTGTACATACCCAAGAAGTTCCTGGTAGGTGTCGCTTCCTTAATCCGGATGCTTGTGGCCCCCATGGGAATGATGAAGATTTGATTGTAGCCTAAAGAAAGTGCAGCAAGTCAGGCACAGTAAATTCTACTTACTAAGGCAGATGGTAATAGACAAGGAAGGCAGGCTAAAGTTGCCCTTTCATGTGCAGAAGGTGTTTTTCAGAATGAATAAGCAGGCAAGTGGAAGAAAACATAAATCCACTTGTAACTACTCCGTCGCTTTTGGATTGGTTCTATCCAGATTCATATTGCCCATAAAGCAGCCCAGCCATGTAATTGATAAGTTACAGCCCAAAGTAGTGATGCTAATGATGCATCAAGCTTCTGCACTGATACAGTCAAGGCCTTCCTGTGCTTCAGCTCCTTGGGCCTTGGAGATATAAACGGATGAAGAAGCACGATGGAATCTCTCCCCGCCAGACCCAGCCCAAGCATTTTTTGCTATCTCACTACTGAGCTGTTGTGGAAGATACACTATTCTGTACCTTTAGGGAGGTTGGGCACATCAAAGAAGCCCTTCACCTCAAAACAGGCTCTGCCATCTCCACCACATTGAAGGCACTTGTCTTCCTTCTTGGAAGAATCCAGAATGTTATCGCAGCCAACGGCCTGTAAAACAGCAGAGTGTGAACCAAAATGCAAGTATGACTCAGAAGGCCAGTCAAGGAATGCCTTGAGAAAAGATAAAGGAAAGGCCTACATTTCATACCAAGACCAAGGACTCGAAGAACCAGACTGGATTTTGAAATGTTTTGCGCACCACTTCACTTCCCATGGTGAACGTCTGTTTTCTTTTGACCTACATTTGCCTCTGGTCCAAACACGTTTTGCAGGTTTTTGAAACACAACAAATCTGCAAAACCTGTTATCACAAGAACAGTGGGATAAATATACGCACGGCAAGCATCAATTTCTCTTTCAACCCACCTTCAAATCTCTGGAAGAAAGAACTACTGTCTGACTCCAGGTTGAGAAAATGCATACGTATGGTAGCATAGTGGGTAAAGCAATAGTCTTGTGGTCATGACTATTAACCATATCCACTTGCAAGGGGAAAAAATCAATCTTTGAGTGTGGCAGCACCTATTCTCTAGAACTCCAACCTGTAGATATGAGGAAGGCGGCTTTGTTGTACAGGTTGACACTTACTTAAAACTTTTGTTTGTTTGCTTAGGCAAGCCTACCCAGACATTTAATTTTATATTGTACAGTACATTTGTTTTTTAAATCTGTTGATTTTATGCCTCTAACTCTTATCTTATATAAAAAGCAAGCAAGCAACCAAACAACCAAACAAACAAGCAAACACACAAAAGTTTACTGTTTTAAAGTGCTGTTATTGCTATTTTAATTAAAAATTTATGTCATTTTATGTACACCACTTAGGCCCCATTTGCACTATACATTTAAAGCAGTATCATATCACTTTAAACAGTTGTGGCTTTCCCCAAAGAGACCTGGGAACTGTAGTTTATTCACGGTGCTGAAGGTTGTTAGAAGACCCCTGTTCCCCTCCCAAGCATGAGGCAAGCAGGCAGCTACTGTGGGGCCCTCTTCTGGCTGGGCTCCATTTCATTATAGATTTTCCCATTTCCCAGAGTTCCCCAGGAAGAGAGATTGATTGTTAAATGACTCTGGAAACTCTAGCTCTGTGAGGGGAATAATGGGTCTCCTAAAAGCTCTCTGTAGTCATAACAAACTACAGTTTTCAGGATTCTTTGTGAAAAGTCATGATTGTTTTAAATGGTACAATACTGCTTTAAGTGTATTGTGCAAATGGGGCCTTAAGAGATTTTTTTATTAAGCAATCTTGTTCAATAAAATAAAATAACTTTCATCAGAGTATCCCCCTGAGGCATAAACATGTCCAGTTGAAAAATGTGTCTGTATTTTTTTAAAATTTAAGCAATATCATCCAAATGCCAGACACATTTCAGCCACTAGTCTTCCTTGGCAGCTCAAGTTTCAAATACGTGAGTAATACATTACATAATTGCTTTGTGGGAAAAGACAACTCTTAAGCTTGGACAGCTAAGAAACACCAGAGATGAAAATACATCTGGCATTTGTATGGACCGGAGCTTCTAAAAAAAGATGGCTGTGGTGTTTTTTCCCCTTTTGCCGACCATGAAAATGGCCATTTTAATGAAGTTTAGATATTAAAATCTATAATGAAATGGAGCACAGCCAGAACAGTGCCCCACAGTAACTGCCTGCTTGCCTCACGCTTCCCAAAAGAGCAGCCCCTCCATGGGCCAACACTCTCCCTCACTGGAGAAACCCACAGCTGCTGTAGCTAAAACAGAAAGTAGGCAGTCAACCAAAGTATGAGGGAAGGTGAAAGGTCATTTTACATGCCCTGTCCCCTTCACCTAATCCTCCAACCCTTGTGGGAAATGCCAAACAGCAAAGACAGCCTTGAGCAGCTGACCAAGCAAGGGGAGAAGCCAAGAGTCCCAGAAAGTCAAAGACAGGGACGGGATGGAAGTGCATGTTGGAAGGAAAGTCAGAGCATAATACAAGGAGGGGGAGCAGGAACTTCTATCCCACTTGACCTCCCCTCACCCCATTAAAGAGGGCTTGTTTCTTTTTTGTCTTTGTGTGTCCTCTAGCGGTCATTGATGGGGCTGCAGGAACTCAAAGCAGTGAGGTGGCTTCTGCCAAGGTGGCTTCTGACAGTTTTGGATTACACAAGTCTTCCCTGCTGCTTTCCCCAGAGGTACTTATTATGTATTGAAGTTCTCACCCTGGCCACCAGGGTGTATTGTGCATATAGTTTTCACTCAGGTCCACGTCAGTTAATTTAGGTGGGGAAACCCTGGGCTGTTGTTGTTACAATGTTGACAGCCGGCTGCCTATAAAAGCAGGCCAGCTGGGCTGCTTGCTGTTCAGTTCAGTTCCAGCTTACTTATAAAGAACTACTTGGAGAAATCTCTGTGTCATCTGCTATGTTCACCCACTATTTAATAGAACTGGGAAAACCCTTTTGTTCCAGTCCCTTGCTTTTGCAAGGCACCACTGGTTTAAAGGCCCAACAAAGGCTTTCACCTCATGTACTTGGGGAGTCCAATAGAGCTCCGTTGAGTTTGCTGCCTCATAATAACTAGCATGTTCCTATTTCCATGCTCTGCCCCTTCCAGAGCCCAGAGAGCACATGCTGCAGGATCTGAAGCACGAGCAGATATCACACACACACACACACACACACACACACACACACAGTTGTCTGCATGCTATGTATCTAAAGTACGCATAAATTAAAGTGAACTTGCCAAGTCTTAAGAGGTAACATCCTAGCAGGTAGTAGAAAAAAAGGTAAGGGATCCAGATCAGAGTTCAAATCCCTGCTTAGCCATGGAGCTCACAGGTTAACATTGGGCAAGTCACTATCAGCCTAGCCTACCAAACGAAGGCAATAGTGGATGCTGGGAAGGGGTGGGGTGCCACGGGTCACCTGACCTGCTGCTTATCAAGAAGTAGACGGGTGAGCTGGCAGCAAGGTCAGCACAGTACCAATGCACTGGCAGAGCCAATAGGGCCCTCCTGCTGGTTTGTTTGCACTGTACTGACTTCATCACTACCTCAGCCCTCTCCTTCACAGTAAAAACCCACCAGAAGTCAATGAGCGGCAGTGTCGTCGTCCCACCCCTCACACCATCTGCTACAGAACAAAATTGAGGGTAAAATGGGATAAGCCCAGGTATAGTACTGTGAGCATCTAAAAGGAAGGATAGGATCAAATCTGATTAATAAATAAAAGAACTAAGAGCAAAGGGGGGGGGAGAAAGGAAATAAGGGGGGGGAGGAAGACGGACACGATTTTCAAGAGAGAGGTAACAATGGCCTACTTGGCAGACTCCTTCCACACAGATATCATGCTTCCCTGGCTCACAGGGTGTCCCATCAGTCACGGTGTCTTTGTGCCTGTAGTAGAAGTTTTCTCCCTTTGGGATACAGTTTAGTTCACATTTATTGGGTGCTGTGAGGAGAGGAAAGCAAAAAAGCAATGTGTTACTCTGCATGTTCTTTTTTCCCCACAAAGGCACATACAACATTGTGCAGCTTTATTTATTTATATAAATACTTCTATCCCATAGAATACCAGGGCACTGCACAGCAATGTGAAAAACAAGAAAACGGTTAAAAGCAGTACGGAACTACCATCATTGAAACGATTGACTGCACAATAAAGATGCAAGCAACTGCATAGGGCATGTTCTTTGACTCCCTGAATCAAGTTGAAGAAGGCTTTCATTGGGGTTCCCGTTTATTACAGCACACTTTCTATCAAGAAAACTTTTTTCAGTACTCAGAGGGTAAAGCCTGATCATCAGTACCTGGAGAAAGGATTTAAAGGCTGGGCTGTATATTATTACTGGTTTGAATCAGCCCACCCTTATTGAACTGCGACATGTTGAATGAAGCAGAATTTGCTTTTGCGGTATCCGTGCACACGTGTCAAGGGCCATATGGTAGTTTTAAAGCTGATCAAGGGATATGCTGAGGGCAGAGGTGGAGCAAGCGGGGGCGGGGCAAGCGTCCCAGGGGGGCGGTGCAGCGATGTCACCCCCCCCTCAGGGACGACACCCGGGGTGGCCTGCACCCCCCCTTTTCCTCTGCCAGTGGCTGAGGGCGTATTTACATTTCAACATGGATTTCATTTTTATGCCAGCTCTCCTGAAGTGCATAACAACTCCCCATAGAAAAGTATATTTTTGGACTAGACAAATGGGGATGGAATGGAAAACTTTGCAACAGGAAAAGAATAGAGTTCACTTGTAACCACAGACAATGTGAATTAGCTATACTAACAACAGGGCTTTTTTTTCTTTTGGAACTTGCCAGAACTCAGTTCTGGCACCCATCAGCTGGGCACCATTGCCATTCTAAGAGAATGAGGGAGGTGTTCATGGTGAATTCAGGCACCTCTTTTCCCAGAAAAATAGCACTGACTGGTAACAACTAGGAGTTACCAACGCTACACTTTAAATAAAATTAAAATATATTCAAGTCACCTTATGAACACACCCCAATACATTTGGAACAAAGCCACCTACATACCATTTGTGATCAAACTGGACTTCTCCACAAATCCTGCAAAATCTATTTCAATGGACTCTAATCAGTTTTTGCAGGATGTAGCACTGAAGTACTGTCCAAGCAGAGATTTGATTCTAAAAGAAGCCATTTCACTTTCTCCCTAATTCACTATGTCAAATGAACTGCATAATCATTGAGTAAGGGTAAATCCATGGATTACCTCCATAATAAGGAAGCCACTTGTATCTCTTTCCCTGAAATTCTATCCCATCAAACTCAGCACATTGCTCTGCTCGAAAATCTCTGGAGCCCTCAGGACAGTTCTAGGAAGGATGAGAAAGAAATCTGTTATCTGAAACAAAGTCTGGAATAGAAGAAGATAAGCACCTTGCTTGGAAGAACTGTCCTGTGTGTGGCTTTCTGTATTTTCTTCAAGTCAGCCTAACTTATGGAAGGTGGTTCGGGATCCACTTATTCTATGCTTCCTCATTTTCAAAAGACTTTGGGTATCACCAGCATGCAACTGGAACCAGTGAACTAAGTGCTGGTGCATGGATACCTGGGTTCAAATTGCTACTCAGCCATGAAGCTCACTGAGTGATCTTAGACTAATCAGTGGGCAGAATAAGTGAGGAAAACTATTCAAACCTTCTATTCCTTCCCATTCAGAGTTCAGGCTTCTGCCTCTATTTTTTATGCCTTTCTTCTTACCTTGCATTAGAAGAGTCTTTCAAATGCAATGTTGAATATCAAATGGAAGGCTACTAAAAATCATGGTGATCAACAGAAAATGGCATCTATTCGGTGGAGGCAACATAGCACATTTCTGGGCTTGTTTATATAATCATGGGAACTACACAGATACTACTGCTTCTTCTGCCTACTCAAAATTTCCATGCGTGGCCATTTTTCAAAAGTTTATAGAGAGTCTTTCACCTCAGTTCAACCTCTACTTCATCCCCAAAATACATAAAAAACTAAAGTCAAGGAAATACTATCCAGGGATAACAGAGTGCTTACATAATATGTTTATAAAAGAAATTACTCTATTCAGAAGCAGATGTAAATACATGCGCTGTACAGTTGTGCAATAGAAAGATTGTACAAAGGTTGTTCAATATAGTATAAAATCCCATTTGTCAGGAAACTAGGGGGGAAGCGAATTGTATATATCAATGATCACATTCTTGTACTCAATGTTTGCTAATGTTAATTAGTTCTGAATAGCTGTCATGCATTAAATGGTGAGAATGGTGTCCTTTTACTCATCTGTTGGCTCATTTGTTTTTTATGACAGAGTTGGTTCAAGGAACAGATAGGTAGCCGTGTTGGTCTGCCATAGTCAAAACAAAAAAAATTCCTTCCAGTAGCACCTTAAAGACCAACTAAGTTAGTTCTTGGTATGAGCTTTCGTGTGCATGCACACTTCTTCAGTGTGTATCTGAAGAAGTGTGCATGCACACGAAAGCTCATACCAAGAACTAACTTAGTTGGTCTTTAAGGTGCTACTGGAAGGAATTTTTTTTGTTTTGGTTCAAGGAAGTTCATTTGTAATCTTCCTTAAGACACTGAGTAGGTGTCAGATGTAACTGGCGGGGGGGGGGAATCTTGAAGCTCTTTAAGTAATAGGGAGAACAACAGCATAAAAGAACTCACTGGTCAATTTACCTTAACATTGCACGAGCGATAGTTTCGGGTCGGTCCTATGCAGCTGAACCCACCATCTGCCCTGAAAGAGAAATCAACCATCTGCAATGGCTTGGGGGGAAATTATAAATGACAAAAACCTACCATCAATTCATTCTTACATTTGCTAATAAAGTGCTAGTTGACAGTGAAGTCTTCTGCACTTCCCCTCCCCCCAGGTGGTAGGAAGTTTCAAGGTAGCCTTTTATGACATCTGTTTCCTTGTAAGGGAATGAGGCCCAGGTCAGATTACTTCTCCCAGCCCAGTTCAACTATGGTTTGTTGGAGCAAGAACAAGTGATAAACCTGAGCACTCTCTGCCTTCCCCTCACATACCCATCTTCAAAAGGTATGATAGTTGATTAAAACCAGTGTCCCAGCCAGAATTGCAAGCCAGATCAGAGAAACAAACAGAGACAGTAGGAAGACTCCTGGATAGCCAGTACTAGCCTTGAAGTAGCATCAGTTCTCCAAAAGCAACCACAGCCTCCCACCCACCAACAGGCCAGTGACATGCAGACTCCCATCTTTTTGTTTGGTGGCATGCAAGCTGCTCATTTCCCCCCTCTCACTACCCTTGAACTAGGCTCAGCCACCACCTTGCCGGAAGATAGATGTGAGCCGAAATCCATGCAAGCCTAGCTGCATGGGAACCATTCTACGAGCAGCTGGGAAAGCCCAACTATATGGCCCCTAGACCAATTACATGGATCCCACCAATGTATTTGCTTCACAGTTGCCCCTCCACCCATATGGCTTAGGGGAGCTGCCAATAGAAAAATAACAACCATACAGCTTGGATAGTGTTTTTAGAAAGTTCCCTAAATTGTAATTAACCAGCACTGGTTGCTAGTGAGCTAGTAACTAAAGAAGGACAGAACCCTGCTGCATATAAAACATTGGTGCATAGTGATCAGTTTCAAGCTGCTATAATTTCCCATCATGTGAATTCACTATACTTTGAAGTACTGTGCTTACGGTAAGGGAGGGGCATTGCCTTCTCTGATGCCAATCCGTACTGGAAAGAGCTACAGTTTAATCAGTAGATAAACCCTTCAGGCAGATAAACACTCTGGAGAAAATGCAAAATTCACAGGGCAATCTTAGACATGTTTATTTCACAGTACTGTGTTCAATGGAGCTGACTTTCCAATAAGTGCATTTAGGATCACAGTCTCAAAAAGTTGGTGGTATATCAAATCTACATGGCTGTAGAAAATGTGATGGTTTTTCAAAGCAACATTGAGGCAGAGACTACGTATTTAATAGTATTCTCTGTCTGGCCAGTTTCATCCAGAACATACGTCTAAGGGTGCAGCTCTGCCTGCCCTGGCAGGCTCAGGCATTTTTAGTACCACATAGATATGGCATCTAGTCTTTCTCTAGCCTTCACAAAATGACATCATGCTAACCATGTCCCAGTTGATTCTACAGCTTTTGTGAACGCAGCAACAACTGAAGCGAATTTCAGTCTTCTCCTTAAAGACATTTAGTCTGCAGTCTTAATCCAATGTACCTGAGAGTAAGCCCCATTGAATTCAATAGATCTTACTTCTGAGTAGACATGATTAGAACTGTGTTGCTAGACCACTTTATGCATTTTGTGGTCTAGCCCACAAAAAAATATTTATCATGGCATGTAAGTTTAATACTTAAGTTCCAGGAAGACTCTTTATTGCTTTCCCTACAGGGGAGCCTACCTAACAGCTGCTCTCCCCTGTATTGGCAAAGGCTTGTAGCTTCAGGAGGAGAAAGCTGACAGGGAAAGGCTCTTACCTTATTGAGTAACAGCGTCGCTGCCGAAAACTGACGCCTCCACCGCAGCTCCTGCTGCAGTCGCCCCATTCTCCCCAGCTCCCCCAGAAGTCAGTTTGCCTCTTTGCTTTACGAGCCTGTAAGAATAATGCAGCTGCATGTATATTTTATTGAATGAAATATGTATACTGCTTCTTCAGGGTCCCTTCCCAACTCTACAATTCTATGATCATAAAAATCTGCTTAAGTGGTAAGAGGACCAGCATTTCGAAGCCTGAGAGCTACACATCAGAGATGTAACACTGATGAGATGAATTTTGGGTTGTGTGTAGAATGTACAAAAGTAACATTTAATTTGAGTAAACTTAATATGCAACCTAAATCAGAATATCCTTCAACAGTCAACAGACAGTAGAGCAGGGACCAAAAAACGGGCGCTCACCCTGTCGCAGGGATTCAAACCGCTGACCTTCAGACCACAGTGGGTGGTGTTGTGGTCTAAACCACAGAGCCTAGGGCTTGCCGATCAGAAGGTCGGCAGTTCGAATCCCCACGATGGGGTGAGCTCCCATTGCTCGGTCCCAGCTCCTACCCACCTAGCAGTTCGAAAGCACGTCAAAGTCCAAGTAGATAAATAGGTACCGCTCTGGCGGGAAGGTAAACGGCATTTCCGTGCGCTGCTCTGGTTTCACCAGAAGCGGCTTAGTCATGCTGGTCACATGACCCGGAAGCTGTCTCCAGACAAACGCCGGCTCCCTTGGCCAGTAAAGTGAGATGAGTTCAGGACCCCCCAGTTGTCCACGACTGGACTTAACGGTCAAGGGTCCCTTTACCTTTAAGCCCCAGTGAATTTCATGACACTTATTTCTGAGTACGAGTGCATTGGCAAGTGCAGCTAATTTGCCATCCTTTATTCTTCAAGCAATCAGCTAAGGTATCAGAGTTTAGTATCACAAAATTTGGTCCCAATAATTTCCAGTTCAATAATCCCAGGTGGCAGGACTGGGTGACAGTTTTGTTTGCTACACCTTAAAGAGCCACTATCTGTCAGCATTGATAGTAAAGGTAAAGGTAAAGGTACCCCTGCCCGTACGGGCCAGTCTTGACAGACTCTGGGGTTGTGCGCCCATCTCACTCAAGAGGCCGGGGGCCAGCGCTGTCCGGAGACACTTCCGGGTCACGTGGCCAGCGTGACAAAGCTGCATCTGGCGAGCCAGCGCAGCACACAGAAACGCCGTTTACCTTCCCGCTGGTAAGCGGTCCCTATTTATCTACTTGCACCCGGGGGTGCTTTCGAACTGCTAGGTTGGCAGGCGCTGGGACCGAGCAGCGGGAGTGCACCCCGCCGCGGGGATTCGAACCGCGACCTTTCGATCGGCAAGCCCTAGGCGCTGAGGCTTTTACCCACAGCGCCACCCGCGTCCCCAGCATTGATAGTACTGGTCTATAATATAGATGTTTTGACTTAGTATAGGACAGTTCCTTAGCCAATACAGGCTATATCTATCTATACAGATATAGATAGATATGAGTCCAGTTATGAATTATTTCTCTTCACAGAGCCTGAAACATATTGTATTGGTGAAGGATGCCAACACATTAACATAACTGTTAGTATGTCCTAAGGGTAGTATCGAAATGCATCTAAGCCAATTGGAATTTATAATTAAACAAGTGGGGACTTGCAACAGAAGGTTGCAATGGGGAACACAACACTGCCATGCCCTTTTCGAGGATACACCATTCCATTCCCCTAGTTTTTCATTCCTTTACCCCACCCCACCCCACCCCTCAACAGATGTTCCCGTATCCTGCAGTCTCAGCATGTTCAGTCACCAGAGTTTCTTTTTTCTTTTCTTCATTTTGTCACTTCTGCAAAGCTTTTAGTTATTCCCAACCCTGACACTACCTTCCTTTTGTGCATGTAGCCATTTTGGCCACATAAAGATTCACACTTGGATAATGAGTTTGCTAAGAGTACAAATACAAATACAAATACCTCTACTGGCATTGCAAGTAAAAACATTTCAAAACACTAGGATAAATTTAAAAGGGACAGGAGTGAGGCTGTCAAGGATCACAAGGTACTCGATTGTTCTGCTTCATGCTGTCTATTCCCTAGAACAGGGGTAGTCAACCTTTTTATACCTACCACCCACTAATGCATCTTTCTTGATGGTGAAATTTCCTTACCGCCCACCAGCGCTACATGGAAGGAGGATTCAGCTTGTGCCATAAAACCCCCTACTTGCAACAGAAGGTTGCAATGGGGAACACAACACTGCCATGCCCTTTTCGAGGATACACCATTCCATTCCCCTAGTTCACCTAGAATCCTGAAACGCCCACTAGTGGGAGGTAGGGACCAGGTTGACAACCCCTGCCCTAGAGGAATGATTCATTAAGAACACTTTTGGGTAAGATGGAGATTAAAAAGGAAGCCACTGAGGCAGTAATGTCCTTGTCCCTATCCGCTAGGAGGAACCTCATTCAGCTTTCTCTTGGAGACGTGGGTTGCAGGTCAGCATCTGTTTGCGGAGTCTATTGTGCAAAGGGCAGTCCAAAAGAATATGGCCCAGTGAATCTGGTACTCCCTGATTACAGGCACACAGACGGGCTTGGTAAGGAATTTGCAAGTATGTACCTGTGGTCACGGACGCAGGAGGCGCTGTGGGTTAAACCACAGAGCCTAGGACTTGCTGATCAGAAGGTCGGTGGTTCAAATCCCCGTGACGGGATGAGCTTCCATTGCTCGGTCCCAGCTCCTGCCAACCTAGCAGTTCGAAAGCACGTCAAAGTGCAAGTAGATACCTTCCGGCGGGAAGGTAAATGGCGTTTCTGTGCACTGCTCTGGTTCGCCAGATGTGGCTTAGTCATGCTGGCCACATGACCCAGAAGCTGTACGCCGGCTCCCTCAGCCACTAAAGCGAGATGAGCGCTGCAACCCCAGAGTCGTTCATGACTGGACCTAATGGTCAGGGGTCCCTTTACCTTTACCTTTTTACCTGTGGTCACTGCGGAGGGGTGGAAAAAAAGAAAAAGAAAAAAGCACCCCTTTCTTGCTAAGAGTATATACGATGGTTCACCACAAAGTACAGGAAGATTAAACATCTACAAACCATCTAGCAGAGCATAGAGTTTAATTTTGCATCTTAAATGTTTGAATTCGACCAAAGTTCATACAGGGCTTATGTTGTTGTTAATTTAGTGACTTCTTGGTCCATTTTCTGATTAGATGCCAGATCTTGTTTAAATATAAAGTGTTCCAGGTTGAAAATATAAAGTGTTCCAGGTTGAAAAAACATGACTTCTAGAGCCAAGGCACCAAACATGGTGCCCTCTAGATGTTATTAGGCTCCAGTTCCCATCAGACCCAGCCAGTATGGCAAATGGGCAGGGATGATGGGAGTTGTGGTCCAGCAACATCTGGAGGGCGCCATGTTGGCTACCCCTGCTCCAGAAGATGGCAACCAGAAATCACCAAGAACCTGCTGAATTAACTGCTGAACTTTTATTCAAAAGTCTGTCCAAGCGTACTGGAAATTAATAGTTCCAGTTACAGATAGGTAGCCGTGTTGGTCTGCCATAGTCAAAACAAAAAAAATTCCTTCCAGTAGCACCTTAAAGACCAACTAAGTTAGTTCTTGGTATGAGCTTTCGTGTGCATGCACACTTCTTCAGATACACTGAAACAGAAGTTGCCAGATCCTTCTATATAGTGAGAAGGTGGGGAGGGGTATTACTCAGAAGGGTGGTGGGAATGGGTGATTGGCAGATAGCTGTGATGAGCCTGTTGACGACTCTTAACGACTGCAATAGGTCTTACAGGAAAAAGCAAGGGGTGAGAAGGTGAAAAATGGCTTTGTCATGTATAATGAGATAAGAATCCAATGTCTTTGTTCAGACCAGGTCTCTCCGTGGTTTTAAGTTTGGTAATGAGTTGCAATTCAGCAGCTTCTCTTTCCAGTCTATTTCTGAAATTCCTTTGTAGTAAAACAGCTACTTTGAGATCTTGTATAGAATGTCCTGGGAGATTGAAGTGTTCTCCTACTGGTTTCTCTGTCTTGTGATTCTTGATGTCAGATTTATGTCCGTTTATCTTAAACAACTCCTAACCCACAATAATACTACAACCAGACTTAACACGGACACTGGCACCAGAGCCTGCAATAAACCCAGATGCCAACTTTGCTGCCACATACACCCGGACAACACCATTACTGGCCCCAACAACATCACACATACCATCTCGGGACTATTTAATTGCTCATCGTCTAACATTGTGTATGCCATCAAATGCCAACAGTGTCCTTCAGTTCTCTATATTGGACAAACAGGCCAAACCTTACGCCAAAGAATAAACAGACATAAATCTGACATCAAGAATTCTATACAAGATCTCAAAGTAGCTGTTTTACTACAAAGGAATTTCAGAAATAGACTGGAAAGAGAAGCTGCTGAATTGCAACTCATTACCAAACTTAAAACCACGGAGAGACCTGGTCTGAACAAAGACATTGGATTCTTATCTCATTATACATGACAAAGCCATTTTTCACCTTCTCACCCCTTGCTTTTTCCTGTAAGACCTATTGCAGTCGTTAAGAGTCGTCAACAGGCTCATCACAGCTATCTGCCAATCACCCATTCCCACCACCCTTCTGAGTAATACCCCTCCCCACCTTCTCACTATATAGAAGGATCTGGCAACTTCTGTTTCAGTGTATCTGAAGAAGTGTGCATGCACACGAAAGCTCATACCAAGAACTAACTTAGTTGGTCTTTAAGGTGCTACTGGAAGGAATTTTTTTTGTTTTGGAAATTAATACCAAGTCACCTAATTTACTCCTAATTACTTCCAGAGTTCTGCCCGGTATTTTGCTTGTTCCCCTCATCAGACTGCACTATAGATACAAATGCATTTAGAAGGTGATCTTTTGAGTTTTATGGAGAAGGAGGTGTTTAATAGAATTTCATATGGCAGCCTTGAAAAACCCTTCTCAGAAAGCTAGTGATGCTACAATTAGTATCACTACAGCTTAACAAACCAAGTAATCCAATTACTAGGCTTGACTTTGCTCTGGTACAAACTGTGCTGCTGGCAAATAATCCCAAGATTATGAGCAATAATGAAGATATTGTTACACCGACCCGCCTTCTCAATCCACTTCTCACACTCACTGTGGTGACATGTCCCTGGGCACAAGATATGTCCAGATTTGGTTCCCTTTGCAGGGAGATCACTGGAGGCTTATTGGCATTGTGTGTGTGTTTGTGGGTGTGTTTTTTTGTGTGTGTGTGTGTGTGTGTGTATCTCTCAAAGGAGTCCAGGGCAGCAAACAACAAGGGGGAAAACAGTAAAAGCTTATTTAAAACAATTCTAATGCAGATGCAGACTAGGAAAAATATAAATTTAAAAGGCTTGTTGGAAGAGGAAGGTATTCAGCAGGCACCAAAACATCAACAGAGACAGCACCTGTCTAATATTCAAGGGGAGGGAATTCCAATGCATGACTGCCATAACACTAAAGGCCCAAATCCTACATTGTGTGGAACAGACTTTCTGATAAGATGGTATCTGCAAGAGGCTCTTGCCTGCAGAGTCAGGTGATCAACTGGGTAAACAAGGCATGAGATGAACTTTCAGGTATCCTGGTCCCAAGCTGCAGAGGGCTTTATAAACCAAAACCAGCACCTTGAACTTAGACTGGTAGCCAAATGACAGCCAGTGCAATTCTTTCAAGGCTCAAGTAACAAGTTGGCAATAATCCAGCACCAGTGAGCAGCTGAGCCACCACATTTGCATCAGCTGCAGCAGACAGACCAAACTCAAGGGCAGTCCCACATAGAACACAGTGCAGTAATTCACCCTGGAGGTTACTTAAAAATATACCTAGGACCAGTGCTCCTGTATCAGATCAGATGCTTAAAGGTAAAGGGACCCCTGACCATTAGGTCCAGTCGTGACCGACTCTGGGGTTGCGGCGCTCATCTCGCTTTATTGGCCGAGGGAGCCGGTGTACAGGTTCCGGGTCATGTGGCCAGCATGACTAAGCCGCTTCTGGCGAACCAGAGCAGCACACGGAAACGGCGTTTACCTTCCCGTCGGAGCAGTACCTATTTATCTACTTGCACTTTGACGTGTTTCGAACTGCTAGGTTGGCAGGAGCAGGGACTGAGCAACGGGAGCTCACCCCGTTGCGGGGATTCGAACCACCGACCTTCTGATTGGCAAGTCCTAGACTCTGTGGTTTAACCCACAGTGCCACCCGTGTCAGATCAGATGCTTACAGAGCCCAAACTCAGCTCTTTGTCTGTTTTTATTTTATTCACAGATACCCAGATGACAACATCCCCATGGGTAGGGAAGGGGACAATATATATGTTGTATACAGTCACTGACTCACACTTGCACACATGAAAAGGTTAACCTGAGCTCAGGTTGCCAGTGGCTTAGCATGCTCTGCCCCTTTTCCTTCTCTTCATGCTTCTTGGAACAAGCAAGGAGCCATGTGGCTATGGCTCCCAACTACTGTACAAGAAAAACTAAGTGAACTCAATCTTTCCCAAAGGGAGGTGTTAAAGCCTGGATCTTTGCTAGTCTGATTACATGTTCTTTTTTCGTAAGGAAATGAAGTTATTTTCTTTATAAACCATTTGGAAACTTTTTTTTCCATTTTTGTTTTACTGCCGATGGATAGACACTTGTCTGATGTAACTTCTGGAAACTCTGTGAATAAAACATAAACTTATTTGCAATGCTAAGTATCTGTGATTTATTCTAACCTAAGAATTTTTGTGAGGAACATTTATTCAAAGGTGGATGGTGGCAGATGTAAATCTAACCAAGTTTTAATGTGCTTGGAGATCACAAGTATGTTTAGAAGAGAGAGTAAGAATCTCACTGCAGATATTTCAGGCATTTCCTAATCATTCAGAAGGAGAGCTAATGAGAACAAAAGGAAGGTGTTTGGCAACTTTGTCAGGGCTACGGAAGCAATCTTCAGTAGTGCCCTGACCATTTACCCTCTCCTGTCCAATTCCAGTCTTAAGCAATATGAAAGGTTTGGAACAGTGAAGACTTAGGGCAGGAAAATAGTACCAGGAAAATAAACAAACAAATGCTAATAACCCTTTTAGAATATTTTTGAGACTGCAAAGAGGCATGCCAGATGCTCAGTAACACAACATATCCAATCTTTATATCAAGAGATATGCAGGTGGGATACAAGCTCATCTATTGCAATATTAAAATAGTCAACATGTGTGTCCTGTGCAGGGAAGGCTCAAAGCACTTAGCCCATGAAGGAATAAATCATTTCTTGTAATCATTTCTGTAACTCCTGATTCATTGCCTCAGTGAGACAGCTTGTTTGTAAAAAGCTTTCAAGGTGAAATGGGATAAGTATCTTTAATATGCATAATAACTCCACAGTTATCAAGGAAATGCACTTGTACAAAACAGGAACCTCCTGGGCAAGGGAAGATAAATAAAATACTGACAGCAGAAGATGAAACAGAAGATGAAACAGGAATACAAAGTAGCATACTAAATAGCAGTGTATTAATCTTCAAATGTCAGGTGCAGAATAGTCAATACCTAAAAAGTAAAGGTAATCTAAGCTGATAAATGTTGGCGCTGCAATGCACTCAAATATAAATATACAATAAACATGGTTTTTTTAAAAACTGTAATTCTTCTGTCAACAGCTATGGCAGAAATAAGAGCCAGTACTGCATCAGTTTTTGCCCTGGTTCCCATCCAAAAACCAGGGAGTCTAGATTATGCTAACTGGGTGTCTTTGAAGGCAAACTCTGGTGCCATAGTACAATGCATGTACTATGCATTGATGCAGAATTTGGTATTTATTCTGGGGCAAAGGTAAAGAGCAATTGGCTTTTGGGTGGTGGTGGGGACATCTAATTCTCTCTGTGTGTGTTTTAAGAAAGAGCATTCAATCATTTAAGTCCTCCACCAGCAGTCTGAAATTGCCCAACCCCAACAGCTCAGTTAGAACTAATATTTGAGGCTGAAATGAGGCCAAAAAACAGTCATAAGAGAACCCCTCCCTGCACGCGCCTATCAGGAACCGGATCCTAGCCTGCACCCTGCTTTGGCAAATGGGGATGAGGGCTGGGACTTAGGCTGTGCCAGGGGGTGGAGCCAACGGTGGGCTTCCCTCAGACCCGCCCCTTGCCCATTGGGTTGGGGTATGGGGAACCTGACACCTGGTCCTGCAAGGCGATACATATAATTGGTCATGTTGCAGAGTTAAGTACTTTAGCATCACACTTATTCAAATTAGAGGGTTTTAAGACCACCATGCTTAACCTGGGCTGTATCATGTCCAACATTTCTTAAAAACCTAAAAAAGTAAGGCATGAAGAAGGAATGATTTTTTAAGCGATCAAAATACATTTTGTGTAAAGATGATAGTATATCGATGGGACCACAGTCTCTTCTCAGAAATACATTACATTCTACTTTCTTTGACATTAGTGATGGACCTCCCACCAACTTACAATGGGCAGGTTCCAGCACATTGTTGACTCTCTTAATTCCCACTCACTGATCTTAAACCACTACAATTTCTAGAACAATTGTGATTGTTTAAACAAGTAAGATTAAAATCAGCCCTGCTGGATCAGACCAAAAGTCTAAATAGGAACAGCTTCCTGTTTTCCACATTGGTCAACCAGTTGCCTATGGGAAGCCCACAAGAAGTCCACACAGACAATAGCCGTCCCCCATTATTCTTCCCAAGCAACTTGTATTCAGGGAGGTATGCTCCTTCTGATTGTGGAGACAGCATATAGCCATAATGACCAGTAGATGTTGGTAGCATTATTCTCTTTTAATCTGTAGATAATTTGTAATTTTCCATCTGCCAACAAAGTTGCATAAATGGCATTCACGTGCTGATCTTCCTAGCATGGTTTCTTACTTTTGCTCCGTCACCTGACTCGAGCTCCAGAACCAGCCACTCACAAGGACATCTGAATACTTACCGCCAACATGGAAGAAGGCATCACTGTTAGTATAAGCAGTAGGAACACAAATGTCATCATGTCCTGTGGGGGTGAAAACAGAGTTACTCATCACAGAAGACCAAATTTGTGTTAGCTAAATTTTTTTGTTTTAACCAGTGTCGGCTCTAAGTTACTGGGGGAGAAGGGACAGAAAGTCCCTAGCAGAACCTCATCACTGTCAACATTGGTTCTTCATCTGTACTCTTCCTCTGAGGTCAGTATGCATGGCTACCAAGGAGAGGGCAAGACAAACTGAGGTTGTTGCCAGGAATGCCTCACCTGGGAGGGTGGAGCCACAGCAATAGCCTCCTGGCAGCAGAGTAACTGCTGCTTACCAGAAAGGGATGACAGGGGTGGTGCTGTATAGACATACCAGCAGAGCAAATCTAGTGCTCCCACTCCTGTTTCTGCTCACATGCATGAAAAACTCAGGTGAACAGCCAAGGACAGTAAGGAGGAGGAACAGCAGATAGACCGAGGGCTCCAGTGCGGCCCTCACTAGGGTATAGGCCTTGGCACATGTCCTGGTTTTTACCTCACATTTCAATAAAATATTTTCAAAGCATCTTGCAACATGTGATTAAAACAGCAAAAACACTCTTCAAGCCAGCTCCTTGAGAACCACCTAAAAGTCAGTGTAAAAATCATTAAAGGTATGAGGAGGAGGGAGAGAAAACCATTTTACCAAGCAGCCAAAGGTCATCAAGTGGACACCAGGCAAACTGATAAGGGGAGAATGTTCCATAGCTGAAACACCACCAAAAAGGCTCTTTTCTCATAAGAGACCATTTTTTAAAAGAAAAGCAGCATAATAATCATTTACTTTATTTAATACTTTGAGATGTCTCCTTTCCTCTAAGGAGCTCAAGTGTACATATTTCCTCTTCTTCTCCATTTTAACCCTGTGAGATTGGTTAGGCTGAGAATGAGCAACTTGAACCCTGGTCCCCCAGGTCGTGGTATACCTGAAGGAGCGTCTCCACCCCCATTGTTCTGCCCAGACACTGAGGTCCAGCTCTGAGGGCCTTCTGGCAGTTCCCTCACTGCGAGATGTGAGGTTACAGGGAACCAAGCAGAGGGCCTTCTCTGCTTGGTTCCCTGTAACGTCCTCCCATCAGATGTCAAGGAGATAAACAACTATTTGACTTTTAGAAGACATCTGAAGGCAGCCCTGTTTAGGGAAGTCTTTAATGTTTGATGTTTTATTCTGTTTTTAATCTGTTGGGAGCTGCCCAGAGTGGCTGGGGAAACCCAGCCAGATGGGTAGGGTATAAATAAATTAATAATAATAATAATAATAATAATAATAATAATAATAACAACAACAACAACAACACTCTAGCCACCACCACACCACACTGGCTCTCACAGAGTGGCATCTGTCCAAGTCATGCTCAGAACAAGTACAATGAAATCAATGGATGTGATTTACTTAGGTTCGTTGATTTAAGTGGGTCTGCTGTGAATATGACTTACTCAGATACAACTCAAATAAGAACACCAGTACAGAATTATCACACCACAAATAACAAATGGGATCATTGCAATGCATGGACTTCCCTTTCTGGGGGAAATGCAGCAAAATCAACAACATCGTAAATTACAAATCCATTTAGTAAAGATGCCTCCATTTAGGAAATCTACATGTCTGAGAGGTGCAAAAAGATGACGCAAGGGGAAAAGATAGATTGGAACTGCCTGTTCGTTACTCTTGGCAGACCATGACATTTAACTGATGAAAGACATGTTAGAGATAAACAGATCACTGAGCAGAAGAGAGATCTGTATTTAAAATACACTGTGCTGGAACAGCAGGCCACAGTCCAGTGGCCGCTGCTGCGCTGGAGTGTCAGAGGTAAGGCACTGCTCAGTGCGCCGAGGAGGCGAGGCAAGTGGCACGTGGAGTGCCGCCTTACCTCTGGAGCTCTGGTGCAGCAGACTGGGGCCTGCACCTCTGGGAGCCACGGGTGAGAGCTGAGTGTAGGATGGGGACCAAAGGTGGGCAAACTATCCCAGAAGGAGCACAACGTGTCCCTCACCAGAGGTACTACCCCTTCTCTAGCACTCCAAGACAACTGTAATAAAAATATATTCCCCATATTCACATGAAGCTTCCCTATACTAAGTTGATCCATTTCCCCATCTAGCTCAGTATTGTTGACAATGACTGACAGTGGTTTCCCAGGGTTTCAGATGTGGGCCTGTCTCAGTCCTCAGGACTTTCACCGGGCAAAACTTGTGGCTGTAGCATGGAGTTACAACCCTTCTCCCTATGTCAACTCTGAAGTGTGAAGAAACAGTGATTCATGAAGGTGCCAATGTAGCAAGGATGTAGGCTGAAACATCCTGGAATTCCTTGTGAAGCCAGGTGCTTGTCTCTCAAGATAACGGGCCAGAGGAAATTCTAGATCTTGGTTACAACACATTTCGGAAAACCCTGCCTTTAATTAATGAAGAGAAGAGTATCTCAACATGACGGTATGCTTTGAGTTTATAATCTATTTATGTTAATATCAGCCTCCTTAGCAATGGTGCCTTAATGCTGAATGATAAGGCTTCAAGTAAGCAGAGATGTCAGATAGTATTTTAAAACATGTCATCAAGACTGTAACTCCTGGGGCAGGACAGCTATCAAGCCAGGAATTAAAGTGTACAGAGAGCTGAAAACTAGGTCTTCCCTGATGCAGCATCTGTCTCTGGGATATTGTCAGAGTCACTACCCAGTTGGGAGATTTCACAGCTGCTGCAAAACGTCCTTGGTCATTTGGTGCTAAGTCACCTCTTGCATCTGGACAGAGGTGCATGTGATTAGAGTGGTGGTGGTGGCGATAGAGGAAATAATCTAATTTTCTCATGCTGCACTATAGCGCAGCAGATCATTATATGACATTTTATAATCCACAAAGCATGAACTGTGGCAGTGGATCAATGCATAAATATTGTTCTTTGTCACTTAATTTTCACATGGTAAAGAAGTGCTATAATCCATTTCTGCTGAGCCCCTGCGGTTGTAAAATCATTGGGTGAATAAAGACACTTTTCTTTTGCTTACACAATTCTGGAAGGAATTGTGTGCACTCATGGTGTTTATTATTTATTAATGAAAATTATGTATTGGACCCAAATAGCCATTTCTGGACCTGCAAAGAATAGCTCCTTCCTATCCACCTTTCTACTGCTGCCTCTTGCACACAGATACACACACATCTCTGAACAGCTGCTCCTGGAGGTCAGGTGATCCTCCAAAGCAGGATGCAAGACAGTGCCAAGGATGGAGGTCAGTAAGAACAACCATCAACCTCTGACCCTGGAAGCTGGACCAATATCCACGCATGTACATGGTGCTTGGATCCTGGCTTCCTTTGGCACTTCTTCCATAATTCCATATTAGCTACTCAATAAGGCCCTGGAGGGATAAATATCTCCCCCTACACAACAGAAGGGTTGGCCCTGCTTCTCAACTATTTTGGATTTTCAGATACAGTAAGGAGATTCCAAGCAAAGCATATTTCTAATATGTGTGGTGGATTTCATACCAGTAGTTAGACTAGGGGGAGAGAACCTTTTTGACTTCCTGTGGGTAAATTCTGACACTCTCAAAAACCCTTGTGTGGGATTTCACCTGGCTGTCATTTGCTTGGGAACCACAGCACAAGGAGCATTCCTAGCCCTACGCTTTCAGAAGTGGTGAGCATTGGGCTGACAAAACATTTCTTTCTCCACTCCACACCAGCTGATTGGGGAGCGAGGAGAAAGGCTGTATTTTGCAAGCATCAACTGCAAAAGGAACTTGAAGTGTCAGACCTAGGACCAGGGTCCAAATCTTCACTCAGTCGAGATGCTCAGTGGATGATCATGGGCCACTCAATGTCTCTCAGCATAGCCTACTTCACAGGTAAAATTGGGGAAGGGGGAGAGAACCATGTTCACAGCATTTAGCTACATGGAGCAAGGGTAGGATATATGTACACTTAAGCAAGTGTTTCACAGAAGAACATCAGCCTATAAGATTATGTTATATTATGTTATGTTAGCTTATAGTGAGGAAAAGAAGTACTTTAGTCTGTATACTTGCAAGTCCAGACACTATTCCCCCAGCCATTAACACATACAGTTTCAGGGGTGTGTGCATTTGTGTGATCTCTCTTGGCACTGCAGCACATGAAAGGAAGCACGTGAGGGACTGACTGTGCGATCAGAACAAAATAACTGTGTTGTTGGAAATAAAACCTGTTTTTCCCTGCAAGTAATAATTACTGTCTTTTCACCACAGCATTAACAAAACTGGGATTCATTTCTCTTTGGAATTCATGCAGAAAGAAACAAACAAGCAGTGGCAGTATTCTTCCATACAAGGTAATTTTTCTCTGCACGGAGAATGTGTTTTTTTTTAACAAGTTAGCAGACATAAACGTAAATGGGTGTGTTCACATACAATAATAACTGTGAAGTTAAAGCTTCAGTGTATATCTTCCTATATACATAAAAAGTGAGGTTGTCATCACACAGCCTCCATGGGGAGGATTTGAAGTGCCTCATCACAATCCTGGATTTGCACAAAGTCAGGGTAGGGTAAGGGAGGAAAAAGTGAAGGCAGGTTGCACAACAGTAGCCATGGCATGCGAGCAAGAAGGGGAAGGCACGAGTGGGGGGGAGGAGGAGTGGTGTTCCCTCTTACCATATCCATCAACTGAGTTGTAGCTAACAGACTTGTTCTTAAGACTCTATCCACCTTGAAAGATATATCAGCATAGGGTGTGTGCACAAAGGGGGCTACACAATAGGAGAGAGAGAGAGTAGTATGGAAATGGGGTGATCTGTGTGCAAGGCAGAGTTGAGAAAAGTAACAAGGTTGGTGGAGGAAAAAATGGGGGATGAAGGTGAAAATGGGGGTACAAAGGCAGAGTAGGAGGCATGGGCATGGCATTGCAAATGAAAGCAAGGGCATGAAAGGGTCTGAAGAAAATGAGAGGATGGTGGCTTTATAACTGGGCAGAAGCTGAAAAAAGTCCTTAGTACATTAGTTGCAGTGTGTGGGAGGGAAAATGCAAGAGATTACCAGGGGGGTGGTCTGTGCAAGGGGAGGGCTTTCACAAAAGGAGGGGAAGCAGGAAGCATGGGTATGGGGGAGAAGGGGAAAACAAGGGTGCAAAGTGGGGCTGCAGAATAGAAGAGACAAGCGGTTTCAGAAACGTGATTCAGAAGACAGTGGCGGAGCTCCCCGGGGGCTGATCTCAGGACAGCGATCCTCCCCAGGGGGTGCCGAATGTCACCCCCATTCAGGCTGAAGGGGGGTGACATTTGGTGCACCCTCCGCGACTCCCAAGCCTACAGCGAGCCGGGGGGGGGGAGAGAGCTGCAGCTGCTGCTTCACCACTTGCCACTTTGCCGCTCACTGGGCTTGGGGGAGTCGTGGGCGGGGGGTGGGTGCGCCGAATGTCACCTCCCTTCAGGATGACACCCGGGGCGGACTGCACCCCCCTTCCTGCACCCCTGTCAGAAGGTGAAAAGGGAGCTTAGTACTTGCATGGGGTGGGAAGGGGAAGCGCTAGGGGGTTAATATGGGGGGAATGGCAGGGGGATTGGTACAGGATCACCTTTCATGATATTCCTTTAATGTAGAACTATTTGATGTTCAAACACTTGTAGCACAAGTGAATGATCAGGATCATGGCAGCTTGCTCCATCCCTAACATCCACATAATGTACGGGATATTAGATTTCCCTGGGAGCCTGTCTATGCAGATCCCAACTGATTTATGCTCCAACCTCAGAATCTATTCACTCCATTTTGTGGTGTACAGATTGTACTAGCTGGGACCTACAGGCATGCACACACTCCCACACATGCAAGCCCCTATGGAAACTTGATGTGCAACACAGGGACATCAAGGGTGTGGCAAGTCAATGCTGTACTGTGCTAACTTCATCTCTGTGTATTGGAGTGAACATGCAGTTACTGCTGTTCACTTGAAGAATGGCAAATGTCTCCACAGATGTCAGGCACCTGATTGACAAGGGTCTAGCTGCAAGGGGGTGCACTGTCTAGCCAATGCTCTTTCTGCATGACATGTGGCAAAAGGTTTGTCAGCAGATAAGGGACTGCATGAGAATAAGCATCTGCTGATATGATGAGGCCAGTGTATGGAACTTAACTGTTGATGACATTAGTAGGGCACATGGACATGAGCATAAAGAGAAGGCCTGAAGAACATCGTCTATGAGGAAGTGGAACCAAGTAAAGGGGGGTAGAAGTGGCTTAAGTTGTTGCTTAAGGTCTAAAAATAATTGTAGTCACAGGACATAGTTACTGAACGTTGGGGAACTAATTGATTAGGATGCATACGTTATTATTACTATATTATTACTGTTCTGGCGTGACTGGCATCAACTCAATGATCACAACCCCCTCCCCCAGCCACCAAAAATATATATACAGTATTTTGAGCTGGAGATGCCACAGAATAAACATGGGATCTTTCTCGTGCTGAGTGCATGCTCTGAAAGCCTTAGGATGATCCCTCCCTGAAGAAGCTCCCACTAACACTAACCCAGCACTGCCTCTTCATGCTGGAGAAGAGCTACACCTGTTGAATTTCTACCTCTCTCTGCCAGCTGTTAAATAAACGGAACCATTTTCTAATAGTCAGATTTATTGCACTCTGATTAATACCCTGGAATTTTTGATCCGCTCTTAAAAGGAGGCTGTCCCAACAAGTCTGTTGGTTTTTATGTGGAGAAAACCGCATAAGAAATGCCTTGATCCTGCAAACCTTTCCCCAGACAAAGTATTTTTTTAAAAAAAGAAAGAAAAAGAAAGAAATTCCCATGAAATCCTGCCTACAGGATCAAGCAAGTATTTGAAACAGCTCCAGAAAATCTGTGGAATTGTTCACACAACCATCTTAGCATGTAGCAACATGATTGTTTAATCAGCCCATGCCAGCCACCACGGTTTGTGCCAATTGTATAATGCCACCCACTGCTGTCCACCTTGTGCTGAGCTTAGCTTATTTCACCATTGGCACTGAAGCATAACTGCACATTTTCATGGGGCTGCAGTCTGTCTCACAGACAGCCACTGTTGCTTTTCGAAGCAGCCAAGCATATACACAGAAGTGATAGTTAAACAGAGGCATGTGTAGAAACCAATGGATTTTGTGGTACAATAGTTCCAAAACTTGGAACTTACTTTCTGACATATAAATAAAAGCACCCTTATCACCTTTCTTGCACATGCAGAATCTGTTAAATGTATACACTGCCTTCTCAGCTCGAAACTGAGAAGATTATCCAAAGGCAGACAATCCAAGTATATATGAAGCTCAAATTCTACCTGCCTCCCACATGGGAATGTCATCTTAGCTATTTGATAATATTTGAATTACTGAAGCTATGGGTGGATTAACATTAATTTAATACGTGAGGTTGCTTTCTTACTGCCAGGAAATCTGATGTTTATAATAACAAGGCTCACATTAAGTCATTTCTTCCCTGTCACTTTTACATAAACTTTTTATTATTACGATAAAAGAGCCCCAAACCCAGACACTATGTGGACGAGAGGCACAAAGAGCCAAACAGTCAGTAATCCAAAAGGAAGACTTACCTGTGGCTGTGCTTGTCTGCTCACAGATGACTGCAAGAGGCAGCAATGCTACCTTAGATCACCACCACTCAAGTCCTCAGCCTTCCAGCTCAATCAGTGGCTCTTTAACACCACCTCTCTCCTCTAGCTTCTGTTTGGTTACTAATCCTTTACTGCACAGGAAAAGGAGAGTTGGGTTTCATTTAACCCCTTCCGCTGCCAAAGTTCCTCCACAGCTTTCCTGTTTTGCTTTCAGAAGCTGAGGTTGTAACCATGCACACATGGAAGGGACAGGCTTTGAATGATCTCCAGCTCTTTAACCTGAGTGTCTTTGAACAAAACAACAACAACACGCAATCTGTCGTTGGCTGCACAAGTCATTTCCAGGGCGGGGCCTTTCTCAGCTAAGTTTTTATTTTAGCCACAGGCAGCACATCAAAAGACAAGAAAGAGAGATTATGGGAACGGTCTATAATTGCAGCTGTTGTTTCTCATTTCCATTAAAGTCCTGGAGTTTAAACAGTGAGATTTTGCAAATCGCATTTCCTTTGCAACCTGAAAACAGGCCTACACCAAAGTCCACCTTTGAACTTTTCCCCTCCTGCCCTTTGAAGCCAGGGAACATCAATCCCAAATCTTGTGCAGGGCTGGATCCATCTTCACAATGCAGTGATTCAAATTCTTAGGACTGTACATCTCAGAAGTCTGGAAAAAATGCAGAAGCACCAAGATACAAATCTCTGCTTGAAGAATTTGTTTCTACTTTAATCTTCATTTGACAATAAGAATCCTCAGGAAAAGCCAACTGGAAAATAACTACGGCATTGAGCTGTGAACACACAAAAAAGGCTGGTGGGAGGAATGCTTGCTTTTTCCTCCCCTTCTTTGCAGTCCTGTCTCTAAAGATCCCCTGGTTAACACCATTGGAATCAGGCAGGAGAAACAGTGCATTCTGCAGTACCTAGACCTCACATCTTTTTTTTCTTTTAAAAAAATAAAGCTAGGATCCACAGTGATTTGATGGGCTATGTCCTATAGGCCCAACTGAAGCATAACCCTGGTTGCACAGGTTTTTTTGAGTATTTATTTTTTATTTCTGGAATTTCTGTGTTGCTTTTCAAGATAAAGTTTTCCTAATGCAGCTGATAATAAATGAAAAAAATAAAATAATCTGACTTTCTTTTTAAAAAAATTAAAGACTAAAAGAACAACACAGTATCCTAACAAAGAAATGATAATATCAAACTTTTTCATCTCTCGGCATTTGTCCACTCTGAAATATAACTGAAATACTATTGATTAGCTCAAAAACCAATACATTATTTACTAGCAATATACAAATCTGAGGTTGTCAGCCAACTACAAAATTAAACAGCCCAGCATGTTCTTGTGCCTTAATACCAGCTTGATCTGCAAAATCAGCAAGTGAAGTTGTTCCTTGCATTGAGATGTTTGCAGATGATGAAGCTGCTGCTGTTCAAGGTACAGCAGGGGGCAGTAATGAAGTTGCCTTGTAGTGCTTTAAATAGACAAGTCAAACCTGCTGCTTTTCACCAGTACAGTGGTACCTCGGGTTACAGACACTACAGGTTACAGACTCCGCTAACCCAGAAATAGTACCTCCAGTTAGGAACTTTGCTTCAGGATGAGAACAGAAATCGTGCAGCGGTGACGTGGTGGCAGCGGGAGGCCCCATTAGCTAAAGTGGTACCTCAGGTTAAGAACAGTTTCAGGTTAAGAACGGACTTCTAGAACAAATTAAGTTCTTAACCTGAGGTACCACTGTATTAAACAAATTGACACGCCTAGACCTCATATGAGTTCAAGGGTCCTCTTTGTGTGTTCTAACCTTCCTAGATATAAATGCCCAGCAGTGGTAGTGGCTACCTGATGTGTGCACGTAAAACCTTGTTTGCCTATAAGGAGCTTAAATTTCTGAACAAAACGCTAACAAGACCGAAAAGAAAAAATGCCAAGGGCCTCTTAAGGAAAGCCTACTGTGTGCCTCCCTTCTGTAACCAATTACAGTGGTGCCTTGGGTTTCAGATGCTTCAGGTTACAGACGCTTCAGGTTACAAACTCCTCTAACCCAGAAATAGTACCTCGGGTTAAGAAGTTTGCTTCAGGATGAGAACAGAAATCGTGTGGCAGCAGCGGGAGGCCCCATTAGCTAAAGTGGTGCTTCAGGTTAAGAACAGTTTCAGGTTAAGTATGGACCTCCAGAACGAATTAAGTTCTTAACCCAAGGTACCACTGTACTGAAATACAAATTCTAGGTAAGGACTCGTCCACACTTAGTTTTTGCCCTGTACTTTCTAGGCACAGATCTGAGCTTTTCTGGGAAACGGCAAGTTGGGTTCTTCATGGATTGCCAAGAGCATTAAAGAGCGACTTTTCACAGCAAAATCATTTGGTGGATGGGTGGGCTATTTCATGAGTTAGCTACAAACATGAGTCTAACCAAACTGCGGGAGGCGGTGGAAGACAGGAGTGCCTGGCGTGCTCTGGTCCATGGGGTCACGAAGAGTCGGACACGACTAAACGACTAAACAACAACAACCCTGACAAAACCTGTTCCTCTCCACCCATAAGTTTCCTTTTGATAGCAGCCTCTTCAGAGATGCTAGATGATTAAGCTTTTGGAAGTTTGGGGCATCAGATAATGTGACTATCCAGCTGGGATCCAGCCAAGACGCATAGGGGGGGAAACCAGCTGTGCCTACTGCTCTGTTGGCCAAAGCTTAAGGGCAACATCTTGCTCAGTTGAAGAGTAGTCCCTTGGGACGTAAGAAATGTCAGCCCAAAATGAAGACTTTGAACTTTTAAAAAAGATTTCAACAAAGGTTTTGTTACTGTGTTTTATCCTGTATCCAGATGGGCTAGTATGATAGGGAAAGGTTATTCTTGTGAGGTTTTGGCTTAGCAATGGATCATTCAGTACCAGGAAACAGGTTCTCTGTTCTTCAAAAGACCACCAAACTGCAGCGCTTGAAGGCCAAAGAAAAAAAGAAGCAGCAAACAAGCAAGCAAGCACTACCTTCCTCTAAAAATAATTTGAGCCTCTTAAAATAATAACCACAAGGTTTAAAAATAGGATGCTATTAGAAAAATGGGAGTAAGTACAATTGACTGCAGTGGGGCTTTCTTCTTCTGAGTGGACATGGATAGGATTGCACTGTTATGCCTACTCAGAAGAAAGCCTCATTGAGTTCAATGGGCTCCTATTTAATTCCTCCCGCCCCCAAATCGTATGCTTGGGATTGCACTAAAATCGTACTTTCATATAAATTAGTCAGTTGTTAAGTTGTGGGTGGTGCTGAGTTTGGGGTAGGTGAGGAGAAAACCAAAAGTAATTCAGAGAAGAGGCACATCTAAAACATTTCAGAACAGCTCCCCTGGCTTAGTGTGTGTCCGTTTCATTTCACCTCTGTTCCCCACATGGCTGTGGCAAGAGCCCATGCTGTCTACCCTCATTATGCTGTTGATTGATCGAAAGCTGTCAGGGATCAAAAAGATTTCAGCTGAAGCAATCGCAAAACCCATTCAATCAGGTCAGAAAAGGGTTGATTATGTGGTACCACTGCAGTCTACGCCGCTATGTTGCTGCTGGCAGGGAAGCACACACTGATTGTGATGATCAGAGCACATCTTTCACCTAAGCACCTTGGTTCTTTTCTTTTCCCCAACCTCTTCCTGCCCATCTGCTCTTCAGAAGCAAGAAACTCCATCATCTCTCTTGTCCATTTAAGTTAAGAGAGCGGACATTTTCCTCATAGCCTTTCTCCATTACTAGGACACATTATATACCGTATGTTTCGCCCTATAGGACGCAACTTTTCCCCTCCAAAAATGAAGGGGAAATGTGTGTGCGTCCTATGGGGCCGAATGCAGGCGTTTCACGAGCCTGGGGGTCAGTGCGACCGACCCCTCTCACTCCTCCAGGACTTCAGGAAGCTATCCGCAAGCCTGCGAGCCTGGCGGGGGGTTCCCGCGGGCCTCGCAAGGCTTGCGGGCAGCAGCCTGCAGCCAGCAAGCTCGGGGGACAGCTTTCCCGCTGTTCCCCGGACCTGGTTTGGAGCGCGCCTTCCTCCCCAGCGCTCCCACAAGCTCGGGGGACAGTGCGGGAGGCGGAGCGCCGCCATCCCGCGTTCCCCGACCTGCGTTTGGGGGGGGAAATAAAGAAAACCCCCCCCTTTATTCCCCCCAAAAAACTAGGTGCGTCCTATGGGCCGGTGCGCCCTATGGGACAAAAAATACGGTAAATTGCCTGTCCCGCAGTTAGGTCAGGTTTCATCTTGAACCAACTGAGAACAATGGCCTGCAATTAAATGGTATATGGTTCTCTTATTTAACAAGTATACATTTTGCTGTCCCTCCAGGGTCCTTTAAAGATCTGATGCATAGGGCTCATTACATTGTTCATAGATCTTCTGTGGTCCCCAGTTAGCTTTAAAAGAGAATGGCATCGTTCTTTATCAACTCAGATCAGAAACAAAGAATAAGTCTTGCAGATAAGGTTGAAGCAGGCATGCCTGTTTCCTTGCCTCAACTCACTTTAATCACAAAACAGGCTGAAGTGGTTCACCATCCTTGAAATACAAGCTTTAAAAAGCAGTACCTGGTTTTGGATGCCAAAGCAGCCCAAAAGCAACATTTACTCAGGAAGTATTTATCCCAACGTCCTTTTGTTCTGAGCTTTCCAGGCACAAGTTTGCACTTTAAAGCTCCATTTCTGAGGTGTGTTGTTGTTGTTGTTGTTGTTTGTTTGTTGTTTTTAAACACTTTGGCACAGAGATTTAAAGTCCAGACCTGTGCAGTATCATACCCCTTTGAGCAGTCGTGGCTTTCCCTCCAAGTATCCTGGGTGCTGTGGTTTGTTAAACATGCTGAGAGCTGTTAGGATACCCCAGTCCTCTCATAGAAGTACAATCCTCCCTCCTGGGGGAGGACTGACTGTTAAACCACTCTGGGAATTGTAATTAACCTGCCCAAGGCAGAGTATAAGTACAATCAAAATACAATAAAATCGCCATAAGATAATATCAAAACATAACAATTCTTCATGCTCCTTCCCATAGGAAAGCTGGTGTTACCTATATATGAGCAAGGAAGGGAAGATGTCCAGTTGCGTCCTACATAGCAGGGGTTGGCAACGTGGCACTATGGCACCCTTGAGATCTTTCCCTGGCACCCGTAAACCCTCTGAGCCCTCTGATTCTTCTTCTTCTTTTGGCGATCACTCGTAGCCCAGTAAGATTGTCTTCCATAAACATGGTTTTAACAATGAGTCCGTAAGTGACTGTGGAGGCCTATTCTGGATCCACATGTCCTTCCACAGTGGGGACATTGGTTTCTGGGTGGGAGCTGATCACAGTGTGGATTTGCCAAGCGTGCCTTCCTCCTAGCACGTTTCTCCCTTGCGTCCTGAGTTCGAGTGTCTTCAAAGCCCATGACACCTTTGGTAAAGGCTGTTCTCCAACTGGAGCACTCGCAGGAGGCTAGTGTTTCCCAGTTGTCAGTGTTTATACTACATTTTTTTTTAGATTTGCCATGAGACAGTCTTTAAACCTCTT